AGAAAAAATGAAAGAAAGGTCCTGTGGCACCTTAAAGACTAACACATTTATTGCACCATGAAGTGGTGAGGTTGTGGAGATAGAGGCAGGCTTGGTTTTCAGTGGATACAATTGGGACAAGGGGAACACAACTGCCGTTTCTGACACACTGAACCTCCTCCCTGCCACAGCCATTGGGGACACCAACACTGCCTTAGCGCACATCTTTATTTTTGGCCCACCCTCCAATGGATTCACTGAAAGCACCCCTGTACCTTCTAACACATACATGAATGGTTGCCCTTCTCTCCTACGAGACAATAAAGTACTGGATCCTTGTGCAGTAGGGACAAAAACTGCCCATTGCTCCTGACACCGCATGAGGCATTGACAGGGACTCTGTAAGTGCATCCATGTACTATGTACCTCTATGTATAGAGCACACAGAGGTCCAGTGCATACATACACACCATTGGATGGAGCCTAGTAACCTAAAGGCCTTCAGCTCTCACTAGGGTACCCAGGCCTGTGCTGGCAAATGACAGGAGATTTGGGGGAGGGGTGCCTGGGGAATGTGGCATTTCATCAGAAAGGGGCATCACTTCTAGGTGATGCTTAATGAACTTCCCCTAATCAGTATAATTTCCCCTCCCTTTTCTCCTGCTCCCCCCATGATCAAGGGTGGGGGATTTTGTGTGCAGGTAAGAGATTGCCCGCGGCCGCAGCCAATGGACAAATCTTAATGAAAAGCATTTCTCTAGAATAATGCTGTTATGGAAAGAATACAGAAAGGAAAGAAGAGAAAGAAAAAGGAGGTGAAGGCAAGAACGTGACCATTTTGCTGTATGAGTAAGAGAAATCAGGTATGTGGCATACATTATAGGCAGTCCCAAAGTGATTACCCATTCTACTTTAAAGAAATGGAAGAGAAATCTGTCAAAGACTATTAACAAGCATCACGAACTGGCTTCAGAGACAGCAGCATTCTGTTACTATCTCCACTTGTCATGCATTTCTTAAACGGTTTAGTGATTTCAAAATCAGGGACATGACTCGGACATAATGGGCTGGATCCAGAATAAATTTCCCAGTGACAGAATATAATCTCCCTGCCGCTCTCCTCCCATTGTAGCCCACTGATCTCCACAAAATACTGCTCCTAGGGGGATGCTGGACTCCAAGGAATGACATGAAGGGAGTCTGCAGCAGGATGAGGGAAATGGCTAATTTAATTTGGATCCATCTCAGTGTTTGAATAAGCAGTCCATGTGGGACCACACCTGTTACCTTCTTACCTACCAAGTGAGTACCTAGCTCAAACCCAATGTCATCAGACTCGATGTGGGTCCATACAATTGGCAGCTGCCTACTCACCAGCATTCTCTGTGGTGGCTCCTGCATTGCAGAATGGCCTGTCTGAGGAGGTCATAAGCCCCCCCCCCCCGCTATCATTTCACAAAATGTGCAGAACAGAAATATTCAGGAGCATTTTCATAAAGGGATTAGAACTGTAGTATAATGGAGCAGCTCAGGAGGTCTTTTTTTAAATAAAGGAATAGGGCTGTAGTCTATTGAAATCCTTATTGTATGTTTCACCTTCCCTTTACTGCATTGTCTTCTACCTATGTAACCCACTTTCTGCCTTATGGAATTGTCATGCCTTAGGAAGTTTTCTTGTTTGCATTGTTTGCATTGTTTTCATTGTTTTCTGTAATCCTAATCCAATTTAGGTTTGCCAGCCCCCTGCTGGAGGTGAGGGATTCCCTGCCCCCAGGGCCCCACCCCTGCTGCTGATCAGCTGGCTGGCAGGAGGACTTAACAAAACAACAACTGTGTGCTAAATTTCCTGCAAAATATTCACAAAGGAGACTTCATTTAAAGTGAAATGCATCTATTGTCTGAAGTAAGTATGTCCATATAATCCGTCATAGGAAAATGCAGAAGCCAAAAAATAATATAGAAGATAAATATACAAAAAGTCCAACACTTTCCCTAGGTTTTCAGTCCCGTCCCCCCCAGCAGAACCAGTGCAATGTACTAGTGCCCAGCAGAGGGATGTACTAAAAGGAATGACAGGATTGCCCATTGGAAACAATGGGAGAGGCTTGAAGGCCCAATAGAGATAATGGG